AAGTCCGGTTTGGGGCAACTATAGCCACGATTTAACAGGCGAAACAAGAAAAGTAAGTATGGGTTACACATACGGGTTACTTCTGTTCTTCAGCACTTTCCACACAGTAGGCGATTATCCACAGAGTATCTATCCGGCCACTTACTGGTCATATAGAGGGCCGGCAGCAGATTTCATCTTTAAAGCGTTTATCAAGATTGCATTCTAGAATTGGAATTTCCTATGCATGGGACATTTCAATAAGTCATATGTACAGTGCGCGAAAAAATGTTTCATTGCGTTGGGGGCAGTTCATGTTTGGCAAGCACAGACGGGCTGCTTAGCTATGAGAGTCATTGACCCCGATTTTTGCCTCAGTTAAATGACCGACTTCACTACCACCATTAATATAACCAAGTGCAACCAACAAGACAACGAGCCTATAACTATATGGTTAGGGCGGTGGACTTCTAACCAACAAGTTGCTGGTTTGAGTGTGAGTAGCTGAAACACTTGATGTAAAGTATGGCCGGCTGATGACGGCTAATAAGCCAGGAGGGGTGATGTTATTGTGACTCATACTGGCAAACAGCGGTCATTCCAATCAGTGGTAAGTCGAATTTATAGATCAACTGTGTATGCGGATAGTTGCGGTCGCAGTGCAGGAGGAAGGCTATTGCTGGCTGAATAAGCCTGAAACAAACGATGCATCATTTTCCCGGTCTGTCAATCTCCCTCTTTCAAAGCCATTCCTACCTGCCGTTGTGCAAATGTGCCGAAAGCACCTCCTTCGATATGAGTGTGCCCACGAAAAGACCAATGAGATGAGGGCCTAGGGAAGTTCAGAGTACTTCAAGTATTTAGAGGCTGAAACAACCCCACATTGAAGAGAAACATACAGCCGGCCGAAGTGGAACAAAACTCCTCCAGTAGGATCAAATAATCATCTCTAATATCAACATTGTGATCATCAGTGACGGCTTACAGCTCAGAAGAAACCCACGCCAACTGCGGCTACCTGTTACACAGACTCCCCAAACCTGCGGTGAACCAGCCAAGTATAAGCAAGTACAAATAGCAACTAGTAGTTTAGGGAGACAAAACGCAACCTAATTGCCTTATACTCAAAATGATAGCGTCGGAGCCTACTTCCCGCAAGAAAAGCGTTGCAAGACGTGCAAGAGATCCACAACCCATAACGCCTTCAGCCACTCATTCCTGGCCGCTAGCGAAAGAGGGTTCAAATGAATCCAACAAAAAACAATCACGAGTCAAAAAATTTCATTGGAAGGATGTTGAAGATTAGAGGAAGGCGAATACAGGTACAAGCAAAGCACGGATGCCTGGTCTATTACAAAACTTTGGGCGAACATGCTAAAATATGGAGCAATTCCGCAGCGAAGGAAAATATCCAAACCAGAAAAAAGAGAGACCGGCGAAGGAAAATAACAAGGAAGAGGTCACAGTTCAATCTGTGGAGTGGTCTCCAGCGGACTGACGGGAGATTTAGGAGTATCCTTCAGTTTGCCATTACCAGTACCGGGTTTCGCATCGTGCCACAGCTTTTGCGCAGAACTTATCTGCAATTGCAGCAAAGGAATTTATTCAGTGCACAAAATGGGCGGCTGGGAAAATGCAGGTGGATAGGGAAAAAGGTCGAGGTGTGGGCGGATAAGAAATATCGACACCGACGTAAGGTCTACATCGCGTTGACTGCACGTGATAATCTTTGCCTTTAAGACTCCATGGTGGTCTTTGGCAGACGTTGAGCTATCAAACTTTAGATGTTGAGCGACAATATCTCTTATTCTCAAGACGATTGATTACAGCGTGGGAGCCTGCACTTCGTACTGCTGCGTTGACTCGTCTTCTCTTCCCCAGCCACGTCTTTGTGTACTGGCGCGTGATGAACCCCCCCGCACCTTCTTTAGCAACCGCTACGAGAGGCCCGCGATGTCCTACCCGTACTACGCTCCTCCTGGTGACTCGCCGGCTAAGGTTCACGTTACTCTGAAACAATCAATGAGCGCCGTGCCACCTAATTGGCTGAGGACACACTCTGCATTCAGGGCTCCGCAGCAACGGACACAACTTCACAGAAACATTTGGTGTGCAGACGCAGCTAGCAGCATGCATCGTTCATTTTCCGGCAGTATGCAATTGCATAGCATCCGTATGTTTCCTTTCTCGCCCATCGGGGGGCAGTTGCAAGACAGAACCAGGACGACCGGAGATGGGCTTGGACACAGCCAAGCAGTTTAACTATGCGTGCCACACACGACCTGGCCTCCACTATATGCACCCGGCAACAATAAGGTCGATTCGGGCCTCATATGGGTAAGGATGTTATAGAGGTAGCCGCATTACGGTCAAACGCTCAGTAGTAACGAGGATCAAGTTATCCCGTCAGCCACGACTCTTGGTTTAGATTCGAGCTACCCAGGCTTATTAGAGAGATGTATTCTCAGTGTCCATCACATTTACTCTGCCTGTCAAAAAAAAATAGTTATGAGATAGAGCGCAGTGGATAACGCGGCGCAAAGGCCGGCGCCCCCATGCATTCACGGCAGTCGGCGAAAAGGACAGACCAGCTGAATCCTACCCGCAATCAAGCCGCCCACGCCGTGCGTCAAGCAAACGAGACGACCACCCACATAGTGGGGGTAGTGGCTGTAGTCGAGATGGCTATTGACTGTTTAGGCGCACACAACACGCCAGGAACATTCTAGAAAGACCGGAACCATATAAATATGCCTGAATGGACAACCTAAAGGAGCCCGCAAGTCTCATTGTCTTTGTGTGCTCTTTAATAAAGCCATTACAATCCCAAGCACTCCCTTGCTTTCTGCCTACTAGTCGGGTTCGAACTACTGGCCCATAGCAGTCTATAAGGGACTAAAGTTACAAGATTTGTCACAAAAGTTCGACCGTTAGTGTCGACAATGCTTACCGTTTTCCCACACCATATTAGGCGCAGGAACGGTGACTTGCGCTTCAGTTGGCTTATGGTGATAGTAGACTTAAACTAACCTACCACATTCTCTCCCCTCCCCCTCCCCCGCTTGGGTCCGGTGTCATGACCAAGTCAAGAAGATCGGAGCAAGGGAAAAGGCGCAGATGAATGGCTAGCGTGGAGAAGCCCGCATCTAGGCACGCCACCACAACCGCCATGTAAAGCATTTAGTAAGGGTGTACAAAGCTATAATGCCGTAAACTAACCCCGTGTTTGATTCAGCGCCTCGACCGTATGCCCCCTTTTAGGGGCCACTAAAGTATTAGAACAACGGCCCATACCGTTAGACACCTGATTTTGATTCCCGTCTGCGAAATAACGAACCTCTTGAAGGTTTGTTCGGCGGAGAAAATGCGTGAAGGAGGGGGTGGACCGTTTTCTCTATGAGTCACGTTTGACTTCGTGACACTTTTCAATAGTAACGAAATTAGGCACTCGCGAAACCCACCGAACTAGGAATAAGGTCTCTAACAAACAAATGCCAGTACTGTTGACAAAGTAGTAACTTTGAGAATAACTGTTGTGGCTACATAGAAGTCCCAACATACCTTCTCGCCCATGGTTACTGCCATGCCCTGCGTCTTTGCGCGTATACGGACGTGGCCACTGACGGGCTGGTCGTCGGCAGGCTTTTCCAAGCAAAGGCTTGCTAGCACGTGCTCTCCAAAGACACTGCATGCGTAGAGGGTGGCACAGAAGTAGTTGCAGTCACCACGCAGGGCCTCAGGAGGCGTTAGACAGCGGAAATTTGTGATCTTAGTTACGTAGGTCATGTAGGTGCGTAAGTCCGTCACCTGGGTATTGACAGTCACCTAGAAAAAAAAAAGAAGGGTTCGAGTTACTGAAATAAGAAGGTAAAAAGTGGTAGCGATTTAACCAAAACAGAACATCTCTCCCCCAAAAAAGGAAGTATGATTTCCAAAGAAGAAGGGGCGTTCACAGGAAGAGGTTTAGTGTGTGTACACGACGTTTCGGGTAGTGCAGAGTATTACGGCGTGGAACAGTCGGGGTGGTCAACTATCTCCAAGGCCAACGAGGGCGGGGTTAAACAAGCTACAGTGAGAAACAGGCTGACGCGACCTCACAGGCAGTCAACGGGGACAATAACACTAATGACAGTGAGATGCAGGACCGACGAGGCGCCACGGTCGGTAATGAATGCGATTCCCGGGTGGTATGTCAAAGGAAGAAGGGGCATTCATCGGGAGAGGGTTATTGTGTGTCTGATGTTTCGGTTAGTGGTTTCTTCTGCCTATGTTCAAAGACCGGAAGGTCCGGCCAAGGTAGAAATTCACTAATTAGGAAGAGATGAAGTTCCTTCAAAAAATTTTCGAGTCAACGGTTATCCAAGAATGTCACAAAAAAGCGGAACGAACAGCATTTCGTGTATCAAATAAAGCCCGAAACCGTGGTTAGATGGCTTGCACCTCTCGGAATACGGGTGTTTCAAAGGCTACCTTAACAACTGACCCGAAACTGATGCGGGAGACAGAGCCTATCCTTAAGCAGAAGTCAGCCATTGTCTGTCGACTACAGCGTGTGCAAATACGTTGGAGAAACCAGCTGACAGCTACAAACGCGAATGTATATGCAGCAGTTGGTCATACGAAGGGAGGACCCAAAGTCAGAGGTAGCAATTCATGTTACACAGAAGGGAAGCGTCTTCAATTTTGACGTCGTGTAAAGTACGAGGGATGCGACGACCACGCGTCAAGACAAACAGTCTGGATTGCTACCGACTGCTCTGTTAACCACTATAGTAATTTGCCTGTCATTCGTCTCTTTTTACAAGCTTTCTTCGCTGGACACCGTCACA